TGCTGCTGCTCCGAGTGCCCCGAGGAGAACACCCCGCAATAGGCATCGCACGCGCGGGTCGGACATCAGCCTTTTCTTAAAATAACGTACAGATTTATTTATTTTTCTGCGGTGAGAAATAGCCCTGACACCCCGGCTGGCCCCGGGCTGGGGGGGTGCAGGCTGCCTGCGCTGCTGAAATCAGGCCCAGGAATCAAAAATAGCACATACCTGCCTGCAAAGTGCGGCAGGATCAGGTTACAAGCGCTGGAAGTTACCCAGGAACGCAGTTAGAGAAGCGCCCTGGCACAGCTGGGATGATAATGAAAAAGAGCAGCCCAGAATAATGAAGCGAGGTCAAAAAAATTGACCTTGTTTTCTGCGAAAAGGAGAGCAGGAAAGTGAGGAGCAGAGCTACAGCAAAACGCTGAGCGGAGAAAAAAGATGCCAAAACCTACCGGTGCTGAATCAAAAAGGCTGCTGTCTGTGGTGGAAGCAGGGGGAATGCTCTAGGGAAGCCCTTTGTCACCTCGGCTGCTTTTGGCATCAGGCCCATCACGGTGCAGGACTGGAAATCAGATGGATTTTTGAACTGGCTTCACATTTCTAAAGGCATTTGGTACTTTCTTGTAATGCTTTTACAACCTAATCCTGCAAGTTGGCTGGAGACTTTGCTTGCTGTGTGGTTGGTTCCAGCTCCCTTCAGGTGTATAGCAAAAGTAAACAGACTGATTCCCTGTAAACTGCCATCTGCATCCTTCTGATGGTCAGGAGAAAGTGCTGACAGTCTCTTTTTCTCCAGAAATAGCTGGTGGTTGTACCATAGCCTTTTCCTTCTCACTAGAGGCTCTCAAAACCTGCAAAACTAATGAGAAGCCTACTTATCAGAACTTCCAACCCCCTCTTCTTTTCCACAGTGACTAAAGGCATACTTCTCTTTTTCAGGCTTAAATACAAGGTGAATAAGGATGTCCATAGTCACACTCCAGCTTGGACAGTGTGGCAATCAGATTGGCCACGAGGTGTTCAATGCTATCTGTGGTGATGTCCATGGCACACATGGGTTGTGTTCCAAGAAGGAGAATGAGTCCTACCATGATGCTTGCCAAGAACGTTTTTTCAGTGAGGAGGAATCTGGAGGTACAGCAGTTGTTTGTTTCCCACAGACAGTCTGGTTGCCAGCCTAACATAGATAAGAGTACAGAAATAATAAAAGCCTTTTAGCTTCCACTGAAGGATGAGTTTTACCTTCAGTCTTCAGAATTGTCACAACCCTCTGTCTGCCTTCACAACATCACTAACAGCCATGGAAGCAAAGTCACAGCACAGGGAAGCATCTGAGGCTGCAGAACCTGCCAGTTGAAAACTAAGCACACGTACATGCATTCAGGCATTCCTTCCAAATGTCTGCACTTTCTACTGTAGATAGATCCTACCATGGAGTAGGATCCAGAGGATCTGAATTTGGTGTTATCAAGCACATTAAGTGGTTCCTTTCCAAAAAGATCTATGGTCTCTAGAGTTCATATTTTTCTTTGGAATGACAGATGGCTGTCAAGAAATCCAGGGCATTGCCAAGGCCTCCTTTCTGCACCTGCCTGCACAGTCCTGTTCATAGTTTGGCTTTTGTGGATGGGAGGGATACAATTTGGGCTGTGCTAAAAGCCCATCTATCTTATGTTAAGAAGTTCTATTATTCTCACACGTTATTCTGTTTCATTTTTCTTTCCATCCAGGAACTGTTGCCCGGGCTGTGCTTGTGGACATGGAACCTAAAGTAATCAGCCAAACACTGTCAATAGCTGCCAGGTCTGGCTACTGGAAATATGATGATCAGTCCCACTTCTGTCAGAAGCAAGGGTCTGGGAACAACTGGGCAAACGGGTATGGACAATTGCTGCAGTAGAGGCTAATGAGCTGTCTAGACTCCTGCTCTGATATAACCTGCCACGTCTGCTGTTTTGTCTTTTATTCAACAGTTACTCTGTTCACGGGCCTAGACACAAAGAAGTAATAATGAATCTGGTACAAAAAGAAGCAGAGAAATGTGATCGACTGGGTGGATTTTTCACAATCATGAGCATGGCTGGTGGGACAGGATCTGGCTTGGGAGCATTTGTCACCCAGTGTTTAAGAGATGCTTTTCCAGCCTCATTTATACTAAACCATGTTATCTGGCCCTATAGCACTGGTGAGGTGAATATTGTATTTCCCAGAGATATTCTACAAGTTTATAATAACTGTTTACTTTTAAAGTAAATTAAACTAGAAGAGAGATACATTTTATTTTTTTAAAGTTCAGACAGGACAGACAGAAACTGAGCTAATGAACTGTCTGTCTAATATTTGGTTCTTGATAATATAAGTGATAAAGTATAGTGTGGTTTCATGAGAAGCTCTATTAGTTAATAGAGATCTGTTGTGACAGTATCTCAGCATTATCATCAGTTCCCAGACAGGTTTTATTCTACATGTTTGTATGAACTGAGAAGGATAACATGGTTTTCACAGGTCTTGCTCTCCTTCCATGAAAAATGCCTTCTAGCTCCTGACCTTATTCCACACTTTGCCAAAGGAAATGAACAATGTCCTAAATCATAACCAAGGAAATGACAGTACCCAGAGGACTATAAACTAGAAAGAAATGGTTTGATTCTCATTTGTGTGTGTTGTTTGTTTGTTTCTAGGTCATTGTTCAAAACTACAACTCTGTTTTGACTCTGTCCCACCTGTATCGGTCTTCAGATGCCCTTCTTGTTCATGAAAATGATGCCATCCACAAGATCTGTGCTCAGCTGATGAACATTAAACAAATCTCCTTCAGGGATGTAAATCAAGTCATTGCACATCAGCTGGGGAGTGTTTTGCAGCCAGTTTACACAGCAGAAAGTGGCTCCCATTACAGCAGAAACCCATTAGGTATTTAACTATAATTTAGCTGCCTGATGCCTTCTCACACATATTCCTGCAATCAATTCAGGGTGTGAAGTTTTTCAGTCTCCTCACTCAAGTATTCAGATACATCCCAAGTTTTAAGATGGGAAAAGTGTGAAGCAAAAGACTAAATTAGAAGTTCAATCCCACTTCTGTAGCAGAGCTAAAAATAGATCCCCCAGCCTCTGGTTTCATTCTTTACCAAAAGAACTCAGTTTCTCCTTTTTCAGATGCCTGCAGACACCCTTGTGCCTATTTACACTTCAGAGAAAATTTGTACAGGACTGATTTGGACTGAGTTTTACATTTCACATTAGATTAGAAGTTTGTATATACTGAAACAAAAAGGCAGCTTTGTGTTTAGCTCTCAGAAGACAGGCTGACTTCTGTATCTTTAAGGGATTAGAGAAAGTTACCCATATTGCCCAGAGTTTTGCTCATAACATTACATTTTCACATCTGTCTGTCAATCTCTCTAGCAGTGCAGAGGGTCTTTGAGACTTTTGAGCCAGGCTACAAAGTGAGAGAAGTCTAAATTGTAAAATAAGAGCTACTAGCCTGCCTGTATGGAACACAGCAGTACATAGCAAGATTGCATTTTTTTGTCTGATGTGTGTTAAATTAAACTTATATATCTGGCTTGGTTTCTTACCTTAAATTGCTAGATATTTGTACAATTCCTCACACTCTTCTATTTTAGCAAGCCTATGCAGTATTCTTGTCAAACACGAGCAGCTGTTGATTTCTTTTTTCAGGAGACTTAATGGAGACATTAGTTCCACATCCTGAATTCAAGATGTTGGGTCTTCGTAACATACCTCAGATGCCTGAGGACTCCCTGGCTTACAGCACCTTCAGTTGGCCTGGACTCATCAAACATTTAAGGCAGATGCTCATTGCCAATGCTAAAATGGAGGAAGGTAAAAAGCTTTTACTCTCTTCCAGTGTCTCTCACTTGAAGCACACATTTTTACAGCTGAAATGAAGCTTATTGTTTTGTAGAGCTCCCTGGCTTTAGTCAGTTCAGGAGAGAGTTGCTGCCCTCAGATAGCAGGAATTTGCTTCTCCATAACCAGCTGCTCCTTTAACTGTCCACTCAGCTGCCACAGCTTGCTCCTGTGCTCCCAGACATCCCAGTTAATTATAACTATCAGAAAATACACAAAGTAAACCAACAGTTTTTGGCCCTGCACTTAATTTACATGATTCGTTTGGAACATTCCTTGGATAGGTCTGCTGTGCTTTTTCTTTTTAAACCTTCTAATAAAAATCATACTTAGCTCTCCCATATCATTTACATGGGGCATTCAGTCTAGCTTCCAGTTATGCAAAGCATGGGCTGGCAGATGGCTAAGTATAGAAACCAGTATCCATTTTCTCTGGTGAGACTAGTGACTGCCAGGCAAATACTGCTGGATTAGCACTGTTTTCTCCAAGAATTGCATAATTGCTACTTAACTAACATGCAGAAACTATAAACCCTGCTATAATCTCAGTTGTGGGGACACTGAGTTACCATCTGACTCTTCAACTAGTCTGACTCTGTATTTCATTACAATTTCACTTTCTTTTGTATCTTTTTTTTTTCCCAAAAAATCTCATAGGTATTGATTGGCAAGTAAAACCACCACGTCCAGGCTCCTCCATCCCCTCCAGTCATTCCACAAACAAGCCCCCACATTTCAATACTTCCATTGCCAACCTGGTTATCCTGCGAGGAAAAGATTTACACAGTGTTGACTTAGGTAAGGAGAAACACCAGACACCTCAGTGATTCATGCTTCACATCTCTGTTTTCTTTGCATCCATATCTGATGAAAGGGAAAAAACCCCAAGGCCACACATTTCAGTAATAAGGTCAATATTCCCTCTAGAAACATTTTCATGTCCAAGGCCACATTGTTTAGTTGCTGAGGGCTGTTGTGTTTACAACTGAGCCCTCTGTGTTTCCTGAAGCACTTCAGGAAAGGAGGAGGAGACTGAAGTTTGTATATATGGTAAAATTCTTGGCTATATTGTCTGAAAATATATTTAGCCACTTGTGGAGTGGTGAACATAGCAGATGAAGTACCAAGGCAAGAGTATGTGTCTAGAGAGTCTGAAGAATCTGCTGAAATCAGTTCTATTTTCAACAGGCTGAACACTGCAGATTTCAAGGCCTGAATTGATCTGTCAAGCAGTGATCAGGTCACACAGCACTACTGAGACCAAGATGTAGGAGCTTGTAGCTTTACCTTTGTCACAAAGGGCTCTCTTATTTCTGCTGCAGGAAGTTTCCAAGATCCCTCATTATATACATCATGGCTAAACCCTCAGGATGCTTTTCGTGCATGGAAAACACCAAGAGCATTTAACAAGTATGAAAAGTCAGCTTCTTTGGTCAGCA